TGGCTTTAGCTTCTCAGTGCTGTGCTTTAACCCGCTGGCCACCAGGGAGGGCCCTTAATGCCCACCATTTATATTGCCTCTCTTCCAGGCCTCTTGCATATCAGTAGTTGGTAAAAAATAATCATTCTGTTATACTGAAATAATCATCCAGTTAAAAGATTCATTTCTTTGCCTCCAAACTCTGTTAGAAAAAATCTTGACAGTCAATTTTTTAAAGAAGGAACCATATTTAATCCTGGTACTAGATGGATTTTCCATAGTAAAGATTAAGATAAATGGTGTTTCTTTTTTCTTTTTTGTTTGTTTGTTTTAGGCCACAGGAGAATGCACAGTCATGGTGTCAAAAGATGTGTATAATAAATTCCTGGTGATTAGCCAGACCTGCCAGATCACTCCAGGTAGCGGATATATCTGCGGGGCTGTCTGGGGAGCATCCGTCATTTCTGCGTATCTGGAGCACACAGCAACCAGCTAGTCTGCTGCACTCTCCTGCGCAGAGCGCCCCCTGCAGGGTGGGCAGCAGAGCAGTGCCAGCTGCAGTCTCAGGGGAGCGCGTGAGTGCAGCCCCCGTGCCTGACCTGGGGCCAGGGTCAGGACCCCGCCTCTTCCTGAAGCGCTGCATTGTAGAGATGTGCAGTGGGTCGAGATAGGGTGTCCTGCCTTCAGTAGGGCCCTCCCAGAGTGTAAAAAGCTTGATGTCAGACTGGGCCCATAATCTTGCAAAGTTCCTCACTTTCTCAGCTTTCAAAGTAATTCCAAGTTCCAGGATTGTTGTAGACAAATGCTAGATGTTGTATCTGACGGTACAATCATACCAAGTATTAGTTATAATCAGGATACAGGTGATAATAGCATTTGTTGAGCACTTATGCATCATTTTATTTATATTTACTCTTTTTTTTTTTTTTTGAAGATTTATGCATACAGAACTGGGATACAGGCCAGAGGTGTAGGGGTGGTGAGAGGATTCTTCAGAGACAGGGTGGGATGCAGAACAGGCCAACTGACAAAGTACATTGCTGAGGGGAGCATCGGGTGGGTCAAGAGAGGTCTGCTGTGCCAGGTGGTCACCTCTGGGGCAGG